CGGTCCTGTCAGGATGTCAGCGCTCTCCAACAGCAGGATGTCTGCAGCTGGCCCGGTCCGCAGTACCCGCCTGAAGGTGCGCCCCAGCATGCAGATCCATGAGTTTAAAGGGGATCCAGATGACACCCACTTGATGTGAAGTCTTCTCTGACTTCACTGACTTGATGTGAAGTCTTCACTGACTTCGCAAAGGCTCGAAAGCTACAACCTCAGGGTAAAGATAGCAAAAGAAACAGACAAAGATCTGTGTTAAAGGTGGTGAAACAGTTGGTGTTAACTGGCTGGCCTAAACATGTACAGGCTGAGCTGCTGAAGCCATATTTTCAGAGACGTTTTGAGCTCACTGTTGAAGATGATTGTCTGCTGATCCCTTAAGAAATTAAGGGATCAGTTGATGTCTGAACTGCATGAACACCACTGGGGAATAGTAAAGATGAAATCCCTCGCCAGAAGTTTATTCTGGTGGCCAGCAGTAGATGAGTGCATTGAACAGGAAGTCAGTGAGTGTACCATTTGTCAAAAGCAGCGTAGTATGCCTTGTACTGCACCAGTGCATAAATGGAAATGGGCTGCCAGCCCCTGGGAGAGAATCCATCTGGACTTTGCAGAGGACCACAAGCAGATGTTTCTGCTAGTCATGGATGCCTATGCTAGATGGCCAGAGATTATTCCTATGCATAATACTACTTAAGTTAAAACCACTGAAACACTGAGACATTTATTTGCTGCTTATGGTTTACCAAAAGAAGTTGTAACAGATAACGGTCCTCAGTTTGTTTCACAAGAGTTTGAGTCATTTCTAAAAAAACATGGAGTGCAGCACATTAAGTCACCTGAATACCACCCTGCCAGCAATGGGTTATTAGAGCGTTTAGTCCAAAATCTTAAAACGTCACTAGCAAAGAATCAAGCCGTAGGTGGTATGACACTTGAGCACTGTGTTGCAAATTTTCTTTTAGGGTACCGAAACACACCCCATACAACTACAGGGAAAACTCCCGCTGAGTTATTTCTAAAAAGACAGGTTCGAACAAGACTGTCACTGATCAGACCCAGTTCTCTCTGAGAATGCAAAACAACACAGAACCATCTCGTCCATGTTAGAGTTTTCACAGTTGGTCAACCTGTATTGGTAAAGAATTACAGGGGAGGAGAGAAGTGGTTGAATGGAGTTGTACAAGAAATCTTGGGTCCTGTAACTTACAGTGTGGAAGTGAATGGGAAGTGTGTTAAAAGACATGTAAATCAGATTCTGGGTGTAAATGGAAATCCAGCTCATTTGACACAAACAGACTCTGGTACTGGAAACTTTTGGAATGATGATGATCTCGATACAACCAAAGGTGTGGATCAACAGATGGAAGAAAAAACTGTTGGGAATCAACCAATAGATGTGCCATCAACTACAGTCGAAAGGAACACTCGTCCAGTGAGGAACCGGCGACCTCCTGATAGACTGAACTTGAAACTGCAACTCTAAATGAGGGTTTAAAAAAGAGAAAGTGTTTCTTGATTTCTGTTATATTGATAAAGAAAAAAAAGGTGAAAGATGTTTCACTGATTGAGAAATATTGATTTTACAGAGGAGGAGCTGTGGTGTTCCAGACACAGAAAAGAATGAACCTCTAGATTTAAGATTGTTACACACTTTTGATATGATTATGCTCCTATGAGTTGGAGGCTGTTTGGTTGTAAATGTGCAGATAAAAGCAATATAACAAATCGCCATTGGTGGTGCTGTTGCTGTGCACAAGAGATGTGAGCTGGACCTGTAAAGAAGATGATGAAGTTCCCTGTTCCTGAATAAATGTTGCCATGTGCTATCTCCAGTTATCTGCTTGAATATTATTTTATTTGACCTAGTGTATCATACACAACAGTTCTGCTTGTATGACGTCACAGATAGTGTCCCCAAATCATGTGTATTCGGACTCCTGTTGCCAGTCAGTCTCAGCATCTTCAGGGTTGTGTTTAGCTCAGTTTGTGCGCTTCGCAGAACCGGACTTTAAGCAATCTAAATCTCCGCCTTTCTAATTGCTCTTTTGTCAGTGTGTGGTGTTTCCCCCGCCCGGCTGCCGCAACACTCTCTTCGCTCCATTACTTTAAATTGCTCTAGATTCCGTCAGGGATCCACAGCTGACTCACTTTTGTCTCTTGCGCACATTTTGTCTTGACCCCAGCTGCCCGCTGGTCTCTGTGCAGCTCCACATTTCTTTAAACATTAAGTTGACATCACAACCGTCCCAGAAGGCTCAGGACGCACCTGCCAACACGCCGTGTTCCGGGCCGAGTACTGGTTCTGATCATTATCTCTCCAAATCCATCGTCTCGCTGCAGCCGGCAGATCGTCCCACGTCCTATATTTCCCAGTCTCCCTTGTCAATTCTGGCTCCGAATGTCAGCTTTCACACCTCAGCGATGTGAACTTCGCGAGCGTCCTGCTTCCCTGATCGTTCATCGGCCGCACATGCTTGTCGCGGTTTCTTTACCTAATTGCTATTGGATCTAGTTGCAGTCAATGACAAGCACACTCCGGTTCTCTGATAGTCCGACCGTTAAGATAAATCAGCCGTCGCTGGCAATAAGGGTTTATGATCTACCTTCTCCGTATTGTGGCTGATTAAATGTCAGAGTATTGATAATCACTGCTACTTTTGTCAATCACAGCCGTCCGTCTGTGCTGCACGTATGGCAATCTGACATCGGTGTCCCACCAGAACACCAGCCTTTCTGGCCTCGCGCATTGTGCTCGTTTTCCGATGGCAATAGTGGTAGTTTATGGGAATTAAAATAAAATATTAATATAAAAATAAATAAATAATAATAAATTAATTAATTAGATAATATTTCAGGTTAGCATCCCGTTTTCTGTTTTGAGGGGGTTTACAAGAGGACGATCGGCCCCTATTAATAATGCCTTTCATGCTCCTCAATCCATTAAAGATCTGTTGTCGTACCAACCGTCTGGTCCATTCCGGTCTTTCATTTCTGATCTGCTCTGCTTCCCCAGAACCAAACAAGTGATGTTCAGCCTCGGGCACCACAAACCGGGAAATTTCTGAAAATATCGTAAAACAGCTGAATCAGAAATCCTTTAAATCTCACTTAACTTTGTGTTTACAAATGGGGTCCAACTGACCCCACACCCGTACCACTTGTATCATTTGCCTCAGTCCTCACTCGCACAAGGGTTAAAAGTCACTTTCTTTAGCCGTTTTGTCACATAATTCATGAATCACTAACGAGCATTTGATGTGTAACTTGGGAAGGAAGTCATCTTTCTATCGCAATTCGGGGCACTTCAGGCTACTCTGCTGCTGAAATGTATTATGTTGAGCTGGAACTTTGATAAGCTCGATAAACATTCCTGATGTTGCATAGGAATGTAATCCCCCCGGGGCCTGTACTGGTGGCGGCAGTCGAAGAAGGATGTGGCGTGAGGGCCAGGAGCAGAAGGTGGAGATGGGGCGGAGGTGGGTTGATCACATCTGGTAAGCGGATGAGGCCGTGGCCAGGAGGTCCTTTCAGCTGGAGCTTGAACAATGATTGGCCAAAGCGAGGCTTGATCCAACACTGATAGGTCCAGAGAGAAGAGGAGGAGGCGCTGATTGATGAGGCAGGTGAGGCTAAAGAGCCTTCCAGATTGAACTTTTGCCAAGGCTGTTTTGCTTATGCTGTTTTGTCCCTCCATTTTCAGTTTATTTTGCTTTTTGTTTTTGTTTCTAAACAAATCATTATGTTTGTCATATGTCTGTGTATGATGTGCATTCCATGGATTGAGTTTTGTGGAAAACAATGGATTTATTGCAGTCCCACTAAATTCATGTGTTACTTTTATTAAGTTCTTTAAAACAGTATTTGTATTTGACTGTAATGAGTTTGTCTGCTACTGTACCACCAACCTCTTTCTGCAGTAAGGAGCAGAGGCAGTAACATTCATCCAATCAACACAAGGCTTTCAGAGAGTGAAACAATTACACCACTGTGGGAGTGACCCATGATAAATACATATTAATTAATGTTTTTGAACGTACTGGTTTCCCGCCATCATCACCCCCACCCCCAAAACCCACACCTACAATACCCCTTCTGCCTTACCCCAAATTGACATTTGACCATGCTAAAAGTAGATCCATAAAAATCCTGTTAGCTTCTTTTCAGTTCTAATCCCTGAAACCAAGTAAGTAGCTCATAAAAATTCAAAGAGGAAACATCATTGCCCTAAAAGAGATGAACCATTAAGAGGATTACTGCTTATAAAAACATCATCTGGAGATAGCCTTTAGTTCATAGTTCATTTAAAAAAAATCCCAGCAACTACACATTCCACAGATAATTAAATGACGGATGTTTTCTAGATTATGAGAAAAGGTCAACAAGAGCTTAGTCTTGATGTGGCCTGTTGGGGCTCTGGCTCAAATGATATGGTTTGGTGCTTTGGTTGGGTTCCAAACAAGCAAACAGTCAGGGGAGCCATGTTTGCATGCCTTTGTTCTTTCCCGCCTCTTGTCCCAGTAAATCCACAGACTTTATTACTTTATTTAATTTTATCTGGAATTATTTTTGATAGAGTAATGTAAAAAAAATACTGTGTAATTATGAATTAAAGGGGAAAATGATACATACTGTTAACAAAAACAGAGTGGAATAAATTGTACTCCCTAAATCAATACTTTGTTTTCATAGAATCCACACATTTATAATTTAATGTCAGCATAAATGCAGCTGTTCTGTGAGAGCTTCAGAGGTCTGCTAGAGAACATTAGTGAACAAGCAACATCACAAGAAATACACTGTAATATATAATACCCCATACCAATACACTAAAATTAAGGTAGGACATTGCAATCAATATTATTAATTAGATTTTACAATGTTTGGAATTGAGGTTAAGGTAATTAATTTAGATATTTTACAATTAGTAATTTCATTTAAATATATTCAGATATAAAATATAAATTAATTATAATTTATCGAAGAAATTAAGTTGAATAAAAATATAATCATTTGCATAAATTAATCATACAAAAATAATTTAATCCAATGTTATAGGACTAAGGTACACTAATCAGTCAAATGATTAGTTTATTAATTGCAGACATGCAGGGTCATCAGGGTACACCTGGACAGGTCACCGGTCCATCACAGGGCAACACGTACAAACCACCATGCTCACACACTACAATGAGAATTTAAGAGAAATATGTTGCTTTTGGACTAAGGGAGGAAGCTGGAGGACCTGGTGCAAGGCAACAATACTACAAACTGTAGTTCTGTTTACTCACGATGATTATTGAGTTCATGAGACAGGTCAAAAACACAAAACTAAACTCAGGCAGAAAAAAGTAAATTCATAAAAAATACTGACTACACACACAAAACAACTGACAAAGCACATAAATGACACAGAAGGGTAAATTTTCATATCTGAGGTTGTTTGAGTTTGGTTTAGGGTTTTGTCATTTTTGTATTCCTTTGTTTTTTCTACTCGTTCTGCCTCATTTCTACTTTTACTTCAGTTTTTTTAGTCTAGTTTATTTCTTGTCTAATTATTCATTGTTTCTCTATATTAGGTTAACCTAGCATAATCTTTTATGTTAGATTAATTTCCTCGTCCCCTGTGCCATGTTTCCCTCCCTCTCAAAGTCTTTGGTTCGGTTGTAAAAATATAATACAATATTCCTTTATTATCAATACAAATCTGAAATTTGTCTTGCATCACAGCACTATTGTTTACAAGCAAGCATACATACATACATACATTATAAGATGTTCAGGTGATAGGATTGGTCCATGTTCATTGTTTAGTTTCAGATTGATTGAAAGGCCAAGCTGTTTGAATTTTTTTAACTTGACTTTCTAAAAGGCAGAAGTCAAACTAACTGCACTGATTTAAGTGAAGCACATCTTTAGTTGTCATGTTTCAGAAGGTGCATTACAATGAGCAAAGTTATTCTTTAAATCTTATCAACCGCAGTAGGCTGGATTTAAGAGGTCTTCCGTTGTCACCATATAATGTGTGGAATGTGTTCATAGGAGCGTCATAGACACATTTACCTGATAATGTGCCCATCTCCCTTGGTGGTCAGACCAACCTTCTATTTACAGGACAGTCATTCTAAAGGTCAGTGGGTCGACCTCATACCTGCTGCTTCACATCCTGGAAGCTTACCCTGCTCTGTCTACATACCGCCCATTGGCTTCAGTAACGTATCAAAGTTGAAGAGAACTGTGATGTTCATCTCTGGAGGTGTCTGAGCCTTTGTGTCAGTGAGCAAAGTGATAATTTATTTCTGCAGCCTTTTTAGCACATACAACATCACCAGGCTGGAAATACTATGTCCGTCTTTGGGTCCAGCGCACCTAGACAATTACAGAGGTAAGCCATGCATATCAGTCATGTACTGGCTGGAAATAAAACCTGGCCATCACTTTTCACATAATGCGTCCATATAACCTTGTTCGGGAAAATTTGACACTGTGGCAGTTATTTATTACACATCACCTCCAACTCAATATAGACTAGTGTCACCTTTCATTTATAAAAATCTTCAGTCTTTTTCATTTCATGAGAGAACGGTGAGCGAGGGGTAGTGCTGTGTATCGGCATGCATTCGTAATCAAAGTACAAAAAAGAAAACACTGTTTTCAATCTACTTTGTGTTTCCTTTTCCTCACGCCTCCTGTGGTAACAGAACTTCCACTGCTTGATGGTTTATCAAGATGCTTTAGAGCGGGGTGTATTTGTTGCTGCCTGTTGACCAGGACTCCTTTGA